GCAATACTCTCCATCATCTTTCAAATTGTCACACACTTCACATTCGTCCTCTTAGGCCACACTGCACAGAAGAGCAATACAGGACAGCTTGCTTCTGAATGCGAATCAGGTCACTGGTAGAATCCAGTGGTCATGGCCTGACGTGCACCGACAGGGAGGACGGGAGTCACAGAAGCAAGTAAAGTTAACCGCTGGACGAAGTCTTTAAATCTACATAAATGGACATACGCTTACACGAAATATGGCCACTGTTCAGCAGCCGACATGCGAAGGAACAGCCGCTGCTGCTGCTGCTGCCTCAGACCCACGTCTTGAAGGAGCCAAGCGGCTGTTGTTCGGCACCGCCGACACGTTCTCTTCGGTCCTCGACTGGATGCATTGATGCATTTTGATCAACGTTCCCCTTGATATCTACGGCAAGCTTCACTTCACTGCTCGGCAGCCGCCCTTGGGCAACAATCGGCTCAAACTAACTGAGGCGAGCTTCGCATCTGACAGGTTGCCATCCAGCTCTGTGGACTCGTTGTCATCATCCAGCAGATCTTCCGAGGCATTGATGGCCTCCGTGACAACGGAGATGTTGATGGGAACTTGGGTCTCGTTCCAGGCCTCAGCCGAACATATTCAGCACGCCCCTGCTGGCAAAGCAGCAACGAACTTGCGCACAGATACCTGAACATGAACAGTCGAGGACGGGACATTGCTATCGTTGGCGGACTTGTTCCCCATGATGGGCACGCCTTCCTGCAGCAGTGCTGCTCGAGGCTAATCTGACATGACTTCCGTGCTCCGGGGCAACCCAATTGGCGCAGAAGATAGCACTGCGCTTCAAGATTTGAGCGACGCAAAGACTTCTAACATCTGCCAACATTAGCTTGGAACTTCCAATTGCTCACCAAACGACTTGCAGAGTCCAGGAGCCACTGCCTTGCGTGCACCAGGTGGGCCAATCCGGTGCAGGGAATGACTAGTCATTCGTCGAAGGCATGCGCAGCTGTGACCGTGACGGAAGCACTGCATTCAAGCGGCTGCTGTTCGACACGTCTGCCAAGTTCTCAGCGGTCCTCCGACATGCTGGCAACACACATTTCGTGCAACTTCTACGGAAAAAACTTAACTGAGACGGGGTTCCTATTGGACAGATTGCCATCCAGCACGACGGACTCATTGTCATCTTCCAATGCATCCGAGGCATTGCCAGCTTCTCCATTGGGAGGTTCTGTCTGGTTCCAGGCCTCAGCCGCTACACTTCCAATCCCTCCTCCCTATCAGACATGCTTCGAAATTGCATGCCTGCACCTTGCGTCACAGTGCTTTCGCGAAGCGAATGGGAGAACAAAGCACCATGTCTCGCACAGCCGGCTCAAACGCCTTCTTTGCACGTCGTTCCAACTAGGGGAGGCACGTCACTTTCGTTGGCAGACTCGTTCCCAGCCATGGGCACATCTTCCTGGAAAGCTGATGATGTTGGTTTTGTCATTGCTTCCATTGTCTTGCCACTATTTCCTTGCGGCCAGTGACCATTTCGACGCGTTGCGACTCTCGAACAAGCGGCAAGAATCAGTACGAAACACGGTGCAGTATGGTTCAACAAAACTGGACCAGCGCAATGAGGCGCAATACTCTCCATCATCTTTCAAATTGTCACACACTTCACATTCGTCCTCTTAGGCCACACTGCGCAGAAGAGCAATACAGGATAGCCTGCTTCTGAATGCGAATCACGTCACTGGTAGAATCCATCGGTCATGGCCTGACGGTGCACAGACCGGGAGGAGGGGAGTCACAGAATAAATCTATACACAAATGGACATACACGTACACGAAATATGACCACTGTTCAGCAGCCGACACGCGAAGGAACAGCTGCTGCTGCGGTTGCCCGCGACCATGTTCGAAAATCTTGTGCTCAGACCACATCTTGAAGGAGCCAAGCGGCTGTAGTTCGGCACCGCCGACACGTTCTCTTCGGTCCTCCACTGGATGCATTGATGCAGCACATTTTGATCAACGTTCCCCTGGATATCTACGGCAAGCTTCACGCCACTGCTCGGCAGCCGCCCGGCTGGACCAACCCTTTGGGTAACAGTCGGTTCGCAAACTAACTGAGACGAGCTTCGCAGCTGACAGGTTGCCATCCAGCTCTGTGGACTCATTGTCATCTTCCAGAAGATCTTCCGAGGCATTGATGGCCTCCGTCACGATGGAGATGTTGATTGGAACTTCGGTCTCGTTCCAGGCCTCAGCCGAGCCAACAAAAACACACACGCACACACTCTCTTCCTTCCTTCGGGTTAGGGGCAGGGGACGCCCCCCGGCCCATACTGTAGGGCCCCCCATGACTTATGGGGCTTTCGCGGAATTCCAGTACACACTCTCTCTCTCTCTTTCTTTCGACAGGGTTGTGGGCCCGAGGGTTGCCCCCTGGCCCGCGTGCGAGTGCGCCCCCGACCGTTTTGGAAGGAGTGGA